CTCTCTGTGTTTTCCTTTCGACAACACATGGTCTTTTGTATGAAATGACATTGTATCTATATAAAATCGTAAATATCGCAAATATGTATATATTTCTGTGTACAGAGAAACGTCCATGGGCCATGTTGAAAGTTTTTCAATTTGTGCCGCTTTAAAGTATTCCCCCTGATTATCTCTCTCTCTCTCTCTTTGCTTCTTTGTTATTCAATTTTTATAAATGAATGAATGGGAAAATGGCGGAGAAAACAAACGCAATTCAAATATGAAACAAATTTAAAATGGTTTGAAAATTATTTTTCTTTGAATTCGGCGGCGCTGCTTAATGGCTTTTTGATAAGAGAAATGAAAAAAGGTACAAAAATGTGTGTCACATAAAAAGTTATACAATTTTTTCTCAATGGGATTTGGTGGCGGAATATTTATATTTTGCTGACCATCTTCAAAATATGTGAATGAAAACTTCATGCCACGATTGCCACGGATAATTCCATTAGAAAAGACAGGTTCAGCGGCTCCTCTGGAGATCGTATCTCTCAAAATACCTTTCCCTAAGATATTTACACATTTCCCTAACATTTTCGTAAACATTAATCAAAAATTTTCACACCTCCAGAGTCGGAGAACAGCCCAGACACAGTCCTGATCAAAACAATCCTCCTCCCGGGGGTTCACAGTTTTGTCTGCTGTTTTGTTGACATTTGCTGGTCATGAAAAGTCATTAAATATATTTCTCTAATTTATCTTTTTCGACTGTGGCAGCTCTGTCGTGGCATTAAAGTAAAGTTTTGGAGCGGAAATGTTTGTCTGGGCCGACCAGTGTGCTGGGGTTATCCCCCCAGACTGTGGTTCAACCCTTTTTCCTTGCTCGCTAATTAAAACTAATCCAATGGCAAGGACCATCTCCCGGAGCCCATTCAGAAGTGTTGTGTTGTACTTTTCGCATAACTGTCAATCAAGAACCACAATTAAATGATTGAAGACTTTCCTAGCCATATTTATCCTTTGTTTTCTTCTCAAGATGCTCCTTTCGAGTGGTAGCGGGGTTTAGTTGGGTTGGATTTTTGTATCCAATAAAATATTTATACTCCTATCTTTGGGTGCTCCCTTTTTTGTAGTTTGCGTCTTGAGCTGGTTTAGTTCTGAATGCATATCAAGTGGAGAGACAACAACAGATACTCGTACAAAATATTTCCATGAGAAATTGACTTTTTCCACAGCTCCATCGTCGTCTCCGTTCGCTGTCTGTGTTGTCTGTTGGCTGTTGTCTTCCTTTGGCCGGAATGATTAATGGTTCTGCTCTTTGCGCATTCGTCCAGCCCACACCGACAATAAGATATATCCAGCAGCCACATATTTGTATCTGTTGTAGCTGTTGCTGTATCTGTATCTCGTTTTTTTGCTGCTGCTGCTGCTGTTGCTGCTGAATGAATGAATGAGAATTTTTACTGCAACGCGCATCAGCATTTGGCATTTCAGCTACTGACTTCGGACTGATGTCGCATCGGCATTGTCTACTCCTAGATTTTCTTGTTATTTTTTTCCTGTTGATTGTGCCACCCGTTTGATTGAATTTGTCAGATACTTTTGCTCCAAATTTAAAAGCTTTAACGAACCGCAAGCATCAGGCATACTGGAAGGGAAGCTAGGAAAATATTTCCCCTTTCCTATGGCTAGACCAACACGAAAATGTACAAGATAAATTGAGGTCATTTTTTGCCACTTGGCAGCACCTTTGGTCAGGGCTTTGGGTCTGAGTGCGGGTCTGGGTCTGTGTCCCTCCTTGTTGACCGCTCTTGTCCTCTGACCGGCCACAAATGTCCTTAATGTGCATCCTTATGGACTGTGGTCATGTGCAAGTGGTCGAGCCCAAAAAATGGTTGAACAAGCCCCATCCTGCCATCTACTTATGTATGTAATTGGTAGTTAGCGTTGACCAAATAGACACACGAGTATACAATTCATTCTGGAAACTCCTTGGCATGTGAGGGAAGGGCTACAGATGATTTAGTTGAAGAGCTGGTGAGGGATATACACTGTAAGGAATGAAATGGGTACCCAAACTTGTTATCGACTGAATTCTGCGGATTTTTCGAATTGTTATGGCGCAAAGTGGAACAGAATTCTTAACAAAATGTTATCAAGCTGCTTGCAGATTTCTCCCTCTGTACTGATTATAATATTTCCCTTTTTTTTAGCATTATTTCCACTAGCAACATTTGTGCAATTGTTGCAAAATTTACGCTTATTTTAATTTGCAGACCAAAGGTGCGGCTAATGCGTTAAATGTGCCCCGCTTTTACAGGGCTTCTTTGTAGAGAGGTTTTTGTGGGTTTCCCCAAATAGAAACATAAATTTCCCAGGAGTAGCAGCAGCAGCAGAAGAAGGTCCTTGGGCGTAGTGGGCAACGGACAACGAGTGCGTTTAAGTGTTAACATGTAAACGATGCTGTTGAAGCAGTTAATAAGTGTATCCCCCCAACCCCTACGAAAAGGGCTGTAAATCATGCAAAAGTGTTTCCTCTACTGTCTGCTGGAATTTTGCTGTTGAAATTAATTTTATTTTCAGCCAAAAACCAACCTCTACAGAGATTTACGAGCAAATAATAACCAACTGATGATTTCTAATATTTAAGTTGAAGGCGAAATCCCCAAGTCGAGTGCCACAAAACCCAATCCAATCCCCAAAAGCTGCTGCAAAGTATCCTTGTCCTATTCCTATCCTCCTTCGTTTGTAGTTTTGCTGATAAGTTTCCATTTTGACTTTTCCGGCATTTCATCCATGCTGATGACATTTCCAATGTCTCTACGGCCACGGCTACAGCTACGCTCTGCCTGCTCCTCCTGCTTCATCTCTGGGGCCATGACAAAACAAAATTCATTTTGTAATTTCCAAGCCACCTCTAGAAAGGCGAGAGAACCAGAGGCAGAGACTGGCCCAATGCAGGCAGCTGTCATTTGCTTTGGGAGAGTTGCTGGGTTGGTTGGGTGGTGCAATGGTTCCGATGTGGATTCCATTTTGACCAGGCTGCAGAAATTGCATTCAACTTGGCTGCTGCCTAGAATCTTTCCCCACTCTCTCTATCTCTTTCTCTCTCTCTCTCTCTCTCTGGGCCTCTCTGTGTGGCACTTTCGAGAGGGGCTTGGGTTTGGTTCGGGGTTTAGAAAATTATCTTTTTGCTTGTCGTCGCCAAAAAGGAAATCATATTTTCTGCTTTTGTGCACTTTACTTTTCAGTTTTCCCTCTGGCTGACTGCCGTTTTGGGCTCTGCCTGAGTGCCTGCCTCCCGTTCTGCCTGCGCCTGGCCCTCTCTCTCTCTCTCGCTCGTAAACAGTTTTCGGCTGCAACTTTTGTGCGAAATTTATGCTTTCATTCCGTATCTATATCTCTGGGCACTTTTCGCACAAGTATGAGTACGAGCACCCAAAGTACACGGTACTCGCACACTCCCGCCTCCGGGTTCGTTCTGGGGAAATGGCCTCGCCTCTTGCCTCTCGCCCCTCTCTTTTCTCTCTGCTGTCAGTGTGTGTGCCCCACCAGGTGGTGTTTATGGCATCCGCTTTGCGAGTATTGATGAAGGAACCGAACCCCGAGTGTTCGCTTCGCATCTGTAATTCAATCAGTGTCTATGTCTGGCTCCTGGTCCCAGCTCCCCCACGGCTCCCACTGCTGCCATTTTCCGCTATTGAGACTCTGTTTACGCAGCTCGTTCAACTGGAAATTTGTGCTGTTGCCAAAAGAGAAAAACGCGAAAATACTTACAAGAAAAATATTTTGCAATCGCATCAATGCAAATAAGGTGTGGAGAAATTCATTGGAGAAGTGTGGGGTGTAAAGGAATCAAATGTTCAGCGTTTCCTAAAATGATATGCGCATTTCTTCACTACCCAATGCGACTTTTATTTCGGGGCACATTTATTTCAATTCGTTCAAGTAGAAACAACTTTTTCGCGATCTTCCATCATTCGAATTTTTTCGAAGTTTTGCAAGAGAAAAGTTTTTCCAGAGATTTTAAGTAAAGCTTAGTTAAGGGATCCTTAGCTTAGGGACTACTGAAAAGGCATAGCATTATTCGAATTGACTTCATTTCCACGAAATGGACCATTATTTGTTGGTGCCATTTTAATCGATTATAATAAATAATCCATGAGATGGATCACTTTCGTACATTTTGAAATGTTTGGAATGGAAGAATTTTTAATAGTAATAAAACTAATTTTGTATCTCGAGTGAAAGTTCTCTAATCTAATCTGGTACTCATCTCTTTACCATTATCCCTCTACCTCCCTCCCATTATCTCTAAGTATTACAATGTATTTTGGGGGTGTTTCGCACACTTTTGAGAGTAAAATCCCGATTGAAATAATATACATTTTTAACGCAATGATCTGTCATGGATTCACAGCCAAAATGTGACACATTCACAGCCGCGCAGCATTTCCCTCACAGCACACTTTATTCAAATTAAGTTCTCATCTCCGTGCCTTGCATAGGGCTGCCGCCTGGAAGCCATGTTCCCATGCTGGTTATTGCCTATCCACTGATTGCGGCTTCTGTTCGGTAGCCAAACTACTTGAGAGCCGCAGCGGCGTCTCTGTGGCCATGTCTCTCCATCACCGATTGATTGATTAGATTTTTGTTAATTACTTAACGCTCTCGGTGCTCCGAGGTTTTTCCCGAGCTGCGAAAAAGCAAAACTTACCGTCGTAGCATCAGCTGCAGTTTTTTTTTTGGTTGAGCTGAAGGAGAATCTTTGGAAAAGTTGCTGCCATAGTTGGTGAGCATTTCCATTGAATTAGTTATGCTCGGTGACGAACTGATGGATTGATTACAAGCAAAAAGATATAGAAAGGAAGAGGGATTTTTCCAGTAAACTTTTAGTACAGCGAATGCAAGAATGTCTAGGTACATAAATGGTTTGGAAACCGCAAGCAGAAAAGATAGAAAAATTCACATTCACTCTCCAAAGTCTCAAAGAACAAAATGCAATTTCTCAATTGCAGCTGAATTCGTTCCAGAAAATGGCCTGCCCAGACGCCTCCGCACCGCGTACACGAACACCCAGCTGCTGGAGCTGGAGAAGGAATTCCACTTCAATAAATATTTATGCCGCCCAAGGAGAATCGAGATAGCAGCCAGCCTGGACCTAACCGAGCGACAGGTGAGTCGCTCCGTTCCCCATTCTTGGCAGCTCTCTGCAGAATGTATTCCAATGTATTCCGCCAATCCAATTTTGTGGCAGCACCAGGAGCTGCAGCAGCAGCAGCTTGCACCTTCTCTGAAGGAATTCCATTATTTCGCTGACAAATTGCATGCAGTGCAGGGTTGACAGGCGGGTACTGCCTCCTCTCATTCCTGTCTGCCTTCCTGTTTCTCTACTTTTTAATTGCACACCTTGACGCCTGGAGTGAAGTTGAACTAATCTAATTTTGGTGTTTTGCAGGTAAAAGTTTGGTTTCAAAATCGCCGCATGAAACACAAGCGGCAAACGCTCTCGAAAACGGACGACGAGGACAATAAAGACAGCCTCAAAGGTGACGATGATCAGTCCGACAGCAGTAAGTAAAGCACATACATATAAGTGTATAAATACAAATAGAATTAAGCTCTTTAAATGATGTGCCTCTGACATATATCCCTTAAGGATACATGAAACTGTACCGCACTCTCAATCGAACTCTTTCCTTTGGGGCTCTCCAGCTCTCCAACCAACAAGTTGTTCCACTTTTACTTTTCCTTTTCCGTTTCCGCCTGTGGTTGTCGTTGAGAGGCTTTTACGGAGAAGAGTAAAAGATGCTGTAGCTTATCAATCATTGTCAGTGGTGGGATGGAACCACTCTCTTGCCACGGCTAACCCCTTTCGCGTGAGAGTTTTTGGTCCTCTGCCCTCCAGCCGTCAGCTCCTCTTATGAAAACAAATCATCAATTTTCTGCTGCTAGTATATATATACTGATTCGGTTTTTGTTTTACCTTTAATCCCAGACTCCAATTCGAAGAAATCGTGTCAAGGCTGCGAGCTGCCCTCCGATGATATACCCGACTCCACTTCCAACTCCCGGGGACACAACAACAACACGCCGAGTGCCACCAACAATAATCCCAGTGCGGGGAGTCGTAAGTTTATTTAAAGATTTCAAAGATCTGTATTAAAATTAATATCCAACTTATTGTTTCGCTCAGTGACACCCAACTCCTCTTTGGAAACGGGCATCTCATCGAATCTGCTTGGCAGCACCACCGTATCCGCCTCGAATGTGATCAGTGCCGACTCAAGTGTCGCCTCCAGTGTCAGCCTGGACGAGGACATCGAGGAGAGCAGCCCCATTAAAGTCAAGAAGAAAGATGATAGTCAGGTAAGGACTAACACATATTTTCTGCTTGAAAATCCATATTGAAATGGGAACCTCTATGTCTCGGCAGGTCATCAAAAAGGAGGCCGTGTCCACCTCATCGAAGGCATCGCCCTTTGGCTATGAGAGTTCAACGCCGAGTTTGGTTAGCTTTCGTCGGGACTCGGATGCCGTCATCGCTTCCGCCAATCCTCCCCCAACAAAGGGCAAGAAACGTTACCAGAATAATGCCAATGCTATTGCCACGCCCACACCCCTCACCGATAGTAATAGTGGTGGAAATGTTGGTGCCGGTGTTGGTGGTGCCTCAGCTGGTGGCTATTTCCCAGGCTACTATCCTAGTCCCAAGCAGCAAATGCAACAGCAGCAGCAGCAACAGCAGCTGCACCCGCAACAGCAGCAGCCACAGCCCCAGCCACAGGACTATTATGGCAAATACGATATTGAATTCGCCGCCTCGCCGCACCACAATCCGCACAAGCAGCAGTCGTCCCTGCATGCGGGCGAGTATCTGAGTCCCAAACCCAATGCTGCCTCATTCCACCAAAACAACCAGCAGCAGCAGCACGAGCAGCAATTCTATTACAACTACAACGAAACCAACGGTAGTGCGTACATGAATCACCAACAGCAGCAGCAGCAGCAGCAACAGCACCACCACGTTGGTGACTTTGAGGCGCCACCTATCAACGGACCGAGTAATTTCAACAGTGGTTACTACGACAACATGAGTTTTCAACATCAGGCGCAGGCGCAGGCTCACCAGCAACACCAATCTGTGGTTTTCCAGCAGCAACACCAACAGGCACCCATTAATCATCAGCAGTAAGTGGATATGATGCAGTGAAATGAAACGGTCTTAAAATTGGCTCTCCGAGATTTTAGGATCTCTTTTAAAAATACTGCTTGTCTTTATGGTTTTTTCTTTGTGCGGTTGTTGTCTGTGCTAAACCACATTGGCGTAACTTAATGTAAAATGTATGTATGGCACGAATGCTACATACCTCTGATGTCAGCTTCCATTTATTTCCGCTCTAGTAGCGCCATTCTGCTATAAATATATTTTACAGTTAGTCGAGACAACCATTATGGCATAGCCTAGACACCAACCACATAGGCAGCAGCCATTAAGGCAAGAAACCAGAAACGAAAACGACGTTTCGAAAAGTTTGAATTCAAATTTAAATGAAATAATTCTCACAAATGTTTCTCATTTTTACATGACAGACATATGCATCACCTGGGCACTGGCGAGGCATACAGCGCTCTTGGTTTGCAGATGGAGAACTGCGATGGCTACAATAATTTTGGCGGTCCAGGCTCCGCTGGCGCTGGTTCTGCGGGTGCCGGTGTTGCCGGCTACTACGAGGCGGGTCAACAACCCCCGGTACCGCCCACCCACACGCACACCCATCACCCACACCACCATGTTCAGGCGCAGGCGCATGCGCATCTTCATGCCCACCACAATCCCGCAGCAGCAGCCCAAGTGGGCGTTGGAGTGGGCGTAGGAGTGGGAGTAGGTGTTGTTCCTCCCCCACCACCGCCATCGCATATCCATGGCTTTGCACTGAATGGAGGAGGAGGAGGACCGACCGTTCAGAGTCAGGCTTTTGTTAGTGGTGGAGGCAATGCCGGTGCAGGAGCCGCTGCGATCAGTGGCCTGGAGAACTCGAACAGCTCCTCGGATTTCAATTTCCTGAGCAATCTGGCCAATGACTTTGCACCCGAGTACTACCAACTCAGTTAGTTTGTGTAGGGAGAGGCGCCTGTACAGTTCTAGCCTAATTCTCCCCCTCTTTTGTGTGTATGTGTGTGTGTGTGTGTGAGTATCTGTGTTTATCTTCGATGTTGTAACCACATAGCACATATCTGTAAATACTATCTTCTAAGAATTAACCATAAAGAGTTCTATTCCATCTGTATTTAGAATAAAATAAAACGAAATTTGATACACTTTTCTTTTGACTAAAAGTCAAAAATAATTTCGATTCTCTCTTGGAAAACTCCATTCATAACTAAAAGAAAGTCCGGAAAAACTGTAAATAGCTAGAAAAATTCCACAACTAATCAAACAAATAATTCAATACCAGAAAAATCTCTCCTAAAACTAAGCAATCAAATTAATTTCCTATTATTTTGTTGATTTTTATGTATATATTGAAAAGTAGCTGAAATCAAAAGTTTGACAGGAATACAAATTTGAATCCCTCCTGCGATTCAAGTGCAATTTCTCTTTCAAGAAATATGATTTAGATTTTTAAGGAACACACTCAATTATTTCAATGTTTGTAATGTTTGTATGTTGCCTTTACCATTTCTCCCTCTAAAAAATACACCATAACTATTAAATAATTAAATAAATATGGCTTAAAATATATCTGTGTAAGGAGAAAGAATAAAAACTAATTAAGATATGAATATGAAACAGCAATTGAGTTCACATCTTGTATACATGTACGTTCCCGTATGCGTCGTTTACAACTTCCTTAATCTCCCAATACATACAGACATCCACAGCCATTGACAACCGATGATGGATGGGTGGAATGGTTCGAAAGGCAATTTAAGGCCATATCCCGCTGCTTTTCAACATTTTGGGATTACGCAAACAATGGGTGAAACAAATCTCTTTTAAAAGGGGGAAAGAAATAGTTGTATAAATTCCAAGACAACATGAAACTCCAACCTAAATTCAGGGATAAATTTTAATATATTTCGTTGACAGAAAAAATGTTGATTTGATTAAGGAAAGTGACAAAATTCATGGTCCATTAAAACACTCCATGAGATGCAGGCAAACAGAAGAGCAGAGGATCTGAAGAGCAGAATTTTCAACAGCTTTTCCCCTAGAGACTGGCGAGCCTCCAACTCCGAGGCTCATTCGTCAACCAGCATTTTTGGGTTTTTGCCTGTCAACGTTTCAAGGTAGATTCGGGTGAGAGAGTGTCTGGATCAGGGACCAGGCTGCAGGAACCAGGAGCAACTAAGCCACATGATGCACATGTCCTGTCCCATATCCCAGTCCTCAGTCCTCCCGTGTCGTCGACTACGCACAATTCTGACAGTGTCGGTGAAAATTTAAGATTGATCACCAGGGCCGAGTGTTTGCTGGAAATTGGTTTAGCTGTTTGGGTGTCCCGTGTCCCTGTCGATGTCCGTCCAATATCCGTATCCGTGTCCATGTCGAGTGCAGGCTAAAACCTAAATAATGTCACAGAATGTCTGGCTGTTTGGTTATACCCCAAAGGACATGGATAGGGGGAGTTGCCCAACCGTCGGCTGTCTGGCTAAATTAATTTAATTAACAGACCACTCCAGCACGATTCCACAGCACAGCTCTAAGGTCACAACGAAACGAATTTGTATTGAAAATCATAAAAAATAATCACTTCAGTAGCGAACAGCTGGCCGTCAACAACAGCAGCTACTCGAATCGTATATTGAAGATATTGTATCTATTGGACAACTGTTGAAAAAAGATAAGTTGTGGAGCTTGTTAATTACAATTTAGTTTTGCTTAATTTCTGAAGGGAAACCCTCGACTCGGAGTTTTGTTTATGTTAATCGACGCGGCGAATGCAACCCAGCTAAGCGCTGGAAATAGTTTATGGCCATTACAATTACAAATTCCATAGCATAACCCCACCGCCTAACCTGAGTTTGCTGCTACTGCTGCTGCTGTCTCAAATAATGCCAATTAAACTTGCACACCAAAAACCAGTTCACTTACCACTTATCATTTTTCTTAGACATATTTCTCTACCCTTTTTGATGTATTTTATTGTGCTTTATTTTTGGCAGTAGCAGTGGCACCGCACCTGTGTGTGCCGTAAAACCTTTAAAATGTGCTGACTGTTCAGGGCACTCACATGGTGGCTCTGTCATAGTTGTAGGCTTTGACTTGGGCTCTGTCTCTGACTCTGGCCTGACCTTGATATACATTCAATTATAGTTAGCATTGCGGCCTCTCTGGGCAATCATAACGAAATGTTTTCATTCATTTATTTAGCGATTTCTCTGATCAAAATCAAAAAAAAGTAAAAGTGCTAAAGGGGGAGAAGACTTTTTTGAAACTTTGATCACCTTGAGGATCCAGCGAAATTAATTAGAAACACCTTTGACAGTCTCCTGAATTTATATTACAAAATTCTCCGACTTTCATTCGATTTCTGATAAGAATTCCGATATAAAAAAAACATAACTCTGTTTTAGATATTTTTTTTTTTACTTTTTTTCGGTAGCCTATTGTTGTCTTTTGTTTATTGTTTACACCTAAACTTAAACACAAATGTGAATTTTGTCCAAAGTTCCGAAACGACGTTTGGTGGGGTGTTGCTGGATGGATGGATGGATGGATGGATGGGTGTGGTGCGACCTTCCAACGATTCAATGTTTCATGATGAGGGCCAAAAAGGTGTGTGGGCCAGTGTGCTAGCTAGCTCCGTCTGGGTTCTGGCCTAACGATCATCCTAGGATGGTTTTTTGTGTGTGTTTTGTATGTTGTGTTGTGCAGTGGATTTGTTGGAAGTGGTGCTGATGGAAGTGGTGGCATGTGACTGGACCGAAATCGAAATGTATTATTTTCCTGGCATTATTTTGACTACGCCGATGGCTGATATCTAAGAGATTAGAAGGATCTGAAAGGATTCAAATGTTAATTACTGATAATTGGTCTTAATTGGTGGGATTACCTCTGGACATCTGCCATTTGATGGACTGGGCGCAACTGCATCCAAAAGTACGTTATCCAAAAGGTAAGTTTTTGCTGGTCCGGATACACCCCAAGGCGCGATCGCAGGCTGCTCCTGTGCCCAACCTCTTGGACTCAACACAAAACACTGAATGAGCGGCCAGAACCCGAGGTGCACTATTTATACGAGTGCCTAAGAACGGACAGAGAGGGCCGAAAGCCAGTTTACTTTTACCCCCTGCTTGAGGTTCGACGATCCTTAAACTCACTTGATCGGGTTCTGTTTTTTTTGTTTTGCTGTGTGCTGTGTGCTGGTCTCGTCTCGTCTCGTCTCTCTCTCCTTTTGTTTTTTAGAGCTTGTGCTTTCTGTTTTTGTCTGGTTGCATTGTCAGTTCTCATTGTTGTTGGGCTCCGAGCAAGATAATGATGATGATGATGTTGAGAAGGGTTCGGCCTCGGCTTCGCCATCGGTCGCTATCGATGAAGAGTCCAGCACCCAAAATCTGAAATCTTCCACTTGATTAGTCAGTAAAATCGCATCGGCAAAGGGGTTAAGAGTGAGCAGTTTGTAGTTGACAGCAGTTGGCTAGCTGAGATTGGAGAACTTTTAACCTTGGATCACCCCTCCAGAATCCAGAATTGTTCTTTAACGGCAGCAGGTGTTTCCACATAGAACAGAGTCCCCACATAAATTCCTATTTAACTGTGGGAAGCTAGCGAAAGCAGAAGCAGAACCCTACAAACTTCAGCTAGAAACTGAAACAGAAACTGAATCGAAAGTTCCCCCGAAAGAACATTTATCAGTCATGCAAGTAAAGTCATGACCCCATAATTTCCGTTTTATATTACAAACAACAGATAAAAGCGAGGGATTCTTTGGATTGTGGTAGAGGAGTTCGAGTCCTTCGTCCATTCAAATGGAAATCTGCAAGACAAAGCTCACGATTTTGTGTCTGCCCCTTCAGACAAAACAGACACAGAGGGCCCATGGATAGGGATCGTCAGCAGGCCAAAGCAGTTCGTTGCCCTCGAATGAGCATCGCACCGCATCCTTAAAGGAGCGCGAAACAAAAGTCCTGCCGCCTCGTTGGACTGCAGCAAAAGCACCACAGGAATTGCATCGCTCTACGAGTGCGATTGCAGCAGCAATCCTTTTTTTTTTCCTTGAGCCCTATGATGTCTGTGAACTTTTTCCGTTGGCAGACAAAACAAGTTATGAAAAAAATAAACAGCAAATAAATAAAACAGCAAAACAGGATAATGTGAACGACCTTTGAGGGATCCTTTACAGGCAGGCAATCCACGGATTTCCAGAGAAATACTTTACTCGCAAAGGAGAGTTGTCCTAGTGGAACTTGTGGAATGTGAATTCAGAGAAAGAGCTGGTGGAATCTGAATGAAATTACTTAGAGTTAGATCTGAGTGTTAAACTGATAATAATCAGTGAATCCTGCGAATCAAATATATGCAAAAATACTCTAAATGTATAGGAAAAAGGTATATTTGATGGGAATCTTAAGATGACAAAAAACTGTTTTGATTTTCTTGATATGTGCAGTATGTCGTATGCATTTTGTTTATTGGTGCTGTCAATAAATAAATGTTCAGTTATGTAATAAAGCCAACAATTCTATGTACAACTCAGAGTCCTGCGGGTCCTACTAACATCCTAGTGGTGGTAGCTGACGGCGGGGGCAGCGTACGTGGAGTAGTGGGCAGCGGGCGCAGAGTATGTCACAGCTGGAGCGGCATGAGCGTAGTGGGCAACGGGAGCAGGGGCAGCATAAGAAGTATACTGGGCAGCAGGGGCAGCATAGTGAGCCACGGGCGCAGGGGCGGCATAAGATGTGTACTGAGCAGGAGCAGCATAGTGAGCCACGGGAGCAACGGTCTTGACGACAGCTGGGGCGGCATAGGATGTGTAAGCTGGAGCCACAGTCTTGACCACAGCTGGGGCGGCGTAGTGGGTGGGAGCAGCATAGTGGGCCACGGGAGCGGCGACGGTCTTCACCACAGTCTTGACATGCTCCAGGGGAACGCGGTTGACGACGGCGTTGAATCCGTTGATGGGGTCGGCGGTGTACTGGACGGTGCGCTTGTAGCCATCGGCATCGATCAGGGAGTACTCGCCGCGGACGACATCTCCGTCGCGCTCCTCCACCTGTCCCTTGTTGTCGCCGGTCAGCTTGTCATCGACTCCGTAAGAGAAACGGTACTGGGGATGGGGATCGTATTCCTCGGCAGCCTTCACCACCACCTTCTGGGCCACAGCAACGGGAGCGGCATGGGCATAGGTGGCCACCGCTGGGCCAGCGTGGTAGACCTGGGGAACTGCGTATCCGGCGCTGGCAACGGCCACGAAGGCGAGAGCGAAAACAAACTGCAAGTTGGAGAGTTGGAGTGAGGTGTGAGGTAGTCCATTAATCTGTGGGGGGAGAGCACTTACCTTGAATGCCATTTTTGGGAGGTGTGTGTGGTGTGGTGTGCTGTGCCGACTGGGTTCTTTACAGAAGTGAACTGGAGCTGCGAATGATACTTTTCTGGAAACAGACGTCAACTTTTATAGTAAATCAAGTTTGCAGCTCTGCTCCGGATCTGCCACGATCTCTGATCGGATCTGCTTTGATTTTGCCTTTGCTCTGCTCGGATTTGCTCTGCTCTGCTCTGGTCTGCTATGGTCTGGCTGCGAGTGAGCGTTTTATTTTCGCGGTGACAGCGAAATCTATTTAATGTTTTTCGACTTTGAATGTACGTAAAATGAGTTGCGGGGCAATAACTCGTACTTCCTGTTCGTGTGGCGCTAAGCTCTGTGGGTGTGCAAAATGCGAAATGTCTTGCTTGTTCTTGTTCTCTTTTTGGCCACAGATTCTGGAAACAAACAACTCAGCAGAGTGAAAGAGAGATCACAAAGCGAAAGGCTATTGAAGGGGTTGGGCTCTAATTATGCTTAACTTTCGATTGCCAGCAAATTCATTGAACCAATGTGATGGCAAAGATCCGTTTTAGTCACTAGGCGAATGTCTGTGATCTATCTTAGTTCTAGCAGATCTTTCATTCGATTGTTAACGGATATTTACTCCCACATTTTTAGCTCAACTTAAGCTCTGTTAATCCTCTTGAGAGGCGAATGTGTCGCAAGACCCTGTAGATCGTTTTGATTATGAATATTATAAAGGAACTATGTAACGTTTGGGCAGAGCATTTGTCAAGCTTCTTGGGGGAATATGTATCAAGGTTATTGAACTTTAACTTGGGGCTTAATATGGTTTCCGTTATGGGTAAAGGTAAAATTTGAGAGAGATTTTGAAAGAGATATTACATTAAATAAAACTTTTCAGAATGACAACTCTCTTGGAAAGATTATTTAGCATGCAGATCTGCCGATTCTTCTTATACTTCCCCTGCCTAATTTTCATCACCTCATTAAGATTACATCACAAACTTATCATCAATTTGGAACAATCAGACCGCAATGAAGGCTACCCATCAACAGACCACAACTGCATCTCTCCCACATGGAGGCTGTTCTCAAGTCCTCATCTCATGCAAAGATCTCTGATAAATCCCCATTGCTATTAGCGGATGCAATCATCTCTGGCAGCCACCAATTTGTACGTGGGCATCTGGCAGAAGGGAAATCCCGAATCCTTTCTAAATAATTATGGGCATTGCACTTGGCCTGGTCGCCTTTGCCATCCGTCGCTCGACAATCTCTTTGACTCTCCACCTCTTCCACGACCTGCGTAAACGTCTACGTCTACGTCAACGACAGCGTCAACGGCAGCAGCAGCAACAGCGGTAGCGGCAGCGCAGCAGTGACTGAGCGCTAATGTGGAGCATGATATGCAGAAGGCCACGCTTAAGCAGCTCCACACAGCGCGGACGGACCTGGTCGCCGAGGAAAGTGCATGCGAGTGGCTATAAATACGCTGGCCAGGCCAGAAGCCATATCATTCAGCCCTCAGTCTTCCTTCTGCACAGAACCAGCCCACAGCCCCAAAACCAATCAAAAATGGCATTCAAGGTGAGTTCTCCTCATGGTAGAGCGCCTGGAAACGATCTAATGAGTCCCTCTGTTCCAGTTCATCTTCGCCCTCGCCTTCGTGGCCGTTGCCAGCGCCGGATACGCAGTTCCCCAGGTCTATCACGCTGGCCCAGCGGTGGCCACCTATGCCCATGCCGCTCCCGTTGCTGTGGCCCAGAAGGTGGTGGTGAAGGCTGCCGAGGAATACGATCCCCATCCCCAGTACCGTTTCTCTTACGGAGTCGATGACAAGCTCACCGGCGACAACAAGGAACAAGTGGAGGAGCGCGACGGAGATGTCGTCCGCGGCGAGTACTCCCTGATCGATGCCGATGGCTACAAGCGCACCGTCCAGTACACCGCCGACCCCATCAACGGATTCAACGCCGTCGTCAACCGCGTTCCCCTGGAGCATGTCAAGACTGTGGTGAAGACCGTCGCCGCTCCCGTGGCCCACTACGCCGCACCCGCTGTTGCCCACTATGCTGCCCCCGCTGTGGTCAAGACCGTGGCTCCCGCCTACCACACCTATGCCGCCCCAGCTGTCGTCAAGACTGTTGCTCCCGTTGCCCACTACTCTGCTCCTGCTCAGTACACATCGTACGCCGCTCCCGCTCCAGTGGCTCACTATGCTGCTCCTGCTCAGTATGCCTCCTATGCTGCCCCCTCTGTCGCCTACCACCATTAAGTTCCACACCTGCCATTCCCCATTCCCATGCCCATACCCCATATTGTTATAGTTATACGAATGCCCCCTAAAAATACACAACAAATATTTCCCACATATACCGAAAGATTGTCTTTTCCTTTTGAACGACATCCGCTTTTAAGGATCTATTTAGTCTTAGGCGCCGGTGAGATCCGTTTGGAGCTGGCAATTTAATTGAATTGAATTAAGTTCGGTTCATTAGTGCTCCCATTCCATTCCCTTGCCAATTAATTTGGCTGCGACATTGAAATTCCGAGCTCCAATGGAGTTTCTTTTTCAATTATTCCATTTATACATTTACTACTCCATTTGCTACACCCGCAACGACTTTGACTCGCTTTGGCTCTGGAAATTGCCCAATCCTATCAGCAATCAATAAATCATAACAAATTCAGATCTGCGGAGCACATTCATACAAGTATGTCACGGATACAGCTCTGGCTTTCTGGTTGTATATTCTGTTGTAGAGGGGTTCGGAGCACGTGGTCAGCAGCTTCCGCTTGGTGCTTGAGTAATTCTGCAATTGTATCTAACGGATATACCAAAAGTACCGGCTTTTCCAGCGTCAAGTTCAATTCCAAGTTATGTTTCTATCATGACGTGGGGGATACGGTGGCTCAGAAACTGGTTTGACTCGCGGTCAGACACAAGTCAGACAAGATCGAATCTGGAATCCCGAATCGTTCTTATAATCGCATTTGTCGATTGTTGGGTAATGAATGGCGAATAAGAAGTAACAAATTTGTTAATTAAAACATTGTTTTTGAAAGTGAAATACACGAACTAAAGTTGAATTGAAGTGAACTGAAAGCGAAATTGAAACGGAGACAAGAGTGGCCTTAAAGGGTCATTGATTCTTGAATAAGTTCTGGACATTGGAATTACTTTATTAGGTACAAAATATAGTTTCAATTGGTTCTTTAAATCCCTTTAATTAGTCTTCTAGTAATGAGCTTACAATAAAGTTCTTTAGCTTCCAAGCGTATGCGGAATATTTTATTGCATCATTTGGCAGAGAGTTGAGTCACTTGCCCACCACTTTGACCATGATGGAGCACTTATCTATGCCGCAGTAATACCTGTAACAGTAATAGCAGTAATAGCAAAGAGAAAAAGCTTCAATCCAAAAGCTTCGGGTTTTATTTTGGACTGGGTATTGATATGGGTAAGGTGACCATACCAAACCATACCGCTTTTGTGGGTCATTCGCCAGAGGGGGAGGATAGAGTAGGAGATGGAGGTGTGTCTCTCTTCTGTGCATGTGTAGCTGTGTGTCAAGTGCAATGCTGGGCATCGATCAAAGTGGGATTTATTGGGTTACTTACATGACTAGGGAGTACCGCAGCACCGTCCCCGATCCCAGTACCGACCCTGATTCAAGCAAGTTGCTCGCCTAAGTCTTTCGTCTTTTGTTTGTAACGGGCTTTTGTTGTTGCTCTCAGCGTTTTGTTCGCTTATTCGTCTGTCCGTCCCAGAGTTTGTCTGTGTTCGCCTGACCGAATGGTGTGTCCGTCCGTCTTTCATTCATAACAATAGCAAAATGGGTGTGACTCGTGGGTGCAAATCATTGAGGGAAGAGCGAAAGAGAGGCAGACATGCAAACGAATTAAGATTGAAGTGATTTCCGTAAGCCAAAACGTGAAAAGTGAAAGAAAGGCCAGGAGAGACAATGGCCAAATGATGAGGTCTCGTTGCTGGCTCCACGAAAAAATTTGTCTATAAATACAAATGCAGCGGCAAATGGATTATTATTCAAGTCACACACTCCACAGAAGGAGGACAAAGCTTCGCTTCTTTTGCCCACTAACCTTAAACACTCGCAAAATGGCATTCAAGGTGAGTTTGCGGCTGATGTAACGCCTCTCTGGGCTTGGTAACAGTCCAAATATCACCCACAATATCTAATCATCCTCTGCCCACAGATGGTTGCACTCGTCGCCTGCTGCCTGGCAGCCGTGTCCGCTGGAATTATTCCACTGGAGCAGCACGAGCAGCAGCAGCAGCACGTCCTCTATCAGGCCCAGCCCCAGTACCAGCACCAGCCCCAGCCCCAGCCCCAGCCCCAGCATGTGCTCTACCAAAAGGCACATGATGTCCATGCCCACGGACATGAGGTGTACCCGGATGATCCCCATCCCAAGTATAACTTCGCCTACGATGTGCAGGATGCGCTCTCCGGAGATTCCAAGAGCCAGTCGGAGTCCCGCGATGGAGATGTGGTCCAGGGCGAGTACTCGCTCAACGATGCCGATGGTTTCCGTCGCACTGTGAAGTACACCGCCGACTCTGTCAACGGATTCAATGCCGTCGTCCATCGCGAGCCCCTGGCCCAGGTGCACCACAAGGTGGTGGCTGCTCCGGCTGCTGTCCAGTATCACCACGCCCCGACTGCTGTGATCAAGACACCCTTGTCTTATGCTGCTCCGGCACCCACTTATGCGGCACCCACCTATGCTGCTCCAGCGTACACCCCTCCCGCTTACACTGCTCCCGCCTACACCTCTCATTATGAGCAACAGCAGCAGCAGGAGCAGGAGCACCAGCATCACTATGCCACCTACGATACTCCAGCACCCGCCCATGCTGCCCATGACTCCCACGAGTACTACCATCATCAGTAAAGGGAGATCTTCCATCTGGAGAGCTGACAAGCGAAAGTATTAACCATCTTGCATATCCATTCCATTCTGAACTATCATTATACACATTTATTTAGTTGTTGATTAGTTGTTATATTGTACATATTTTGAATAAACTTTGATGAATTCATAAAAACTATACCATTTAGTGTTTGCAAAGTGGATAACGTGGATAAGTACCCATAAAATACCAAGGATACATTAAGGTACAACTAGAAATCGGGGGATGTAATCGATTTTATACTAGCTGTTGGATAACTTAAATTTGACACAAGGTAGGCCCCTCAGCATCTCTGACATTTCCCTACGCTTTTTTCACATATTGTGAAAAGTATTCAGTTCGTTCAAAACAGTCGAAAGACACAGATCAAAATTTAAAATTTTTCATTAAATTTGTAGTACCTTTTGGAAAAAAATGTAGGCTTAAAATTAGAAAAACATTTTTTGGTGCAAAAAAAAATATTAAAATCTATTGAAAAAAAAAATAAAAACAATGTCCAACTCACGAAAGCAATATTTCCCGGTAAGTACAATTTTGTTTCGAAATATAAATTATTAAATTCCTCGTTTTTCTCCTTCCAGAAAACCCTGAACACCAACACCTGCGAGAGATATCCACGTCTAAGACACACGGAGTTCTATCGCACACCAGAACCGCGACCCTCGGTTCAAAGCCAGAAGGCGGAACATGACAAAGATCGATTAAATCGTCTACCCAGTGCTGAGGCACCCGCACAAAGTCCTCGTATCCAACCACCGCGATACTCGGAAGAACGAGTACTTCGCGATAGCTATTTTTCCTAAAATGCAGCAAATGGGAGGTAAAATAATGAACAAATCTTTTGCTATGTGGAATCGTGGAAAATGCAAACATTATTGGGTTATTTATTTTTGTAATATTTTTGGGAGCGTTTTCATGGGGGTTAAAATGATATTTGATAACCCTAAAACCCACGCAACATTCTTTTCCTATTATCTATAGTATTTTCTGGTGATTTTATACAATTTACTTGTTTCTCTTTTACATTGAATTACTTCAAACCCTAACATACATAGAAGCGCATAACTTAAGTTCATTTGGATTACCTACAGATAAACTCAAGGCTATGAAAATATTTAATCTCGAAACAACAAACATGACTTGTAATATTTTGCACAGAATAAGCACATTCCATTGGAATAAAAAGATTAGGCACAGAACAAACGCTTCTCAAGTAATCCAAACAATATCACAAAATGTCCATCGAAACATATTCCAATGATATGTGAGATCAATTGGCATTAATTTAATGAGGTGTGAGATTTACATATTAAACACCACGCCAGTGTTTCCCGGATTGGTCATGATTCAATGCGAATTTTTGTTAGCCGCAGCTCTACATTCGAAGACCGGTTTTTGTGGGGTCTGGGGTCTGCTTTGCCAAAATATCCGGTAGCAACAATAGCACTTTTTGCAATTTTAATGTCGCACACAAATTGAATGTCAAATTACTTGAGGCATACCATACCATTGGCTCTGATATCAGTTTCGCTGTCGCTGTCGCTGTCGGTTGCGGCCAGGCCAGAGTGCGGCAACGACTACGGTGTACATACTCGTACGAGTATGTGTATGACTCTGACTCGATCTTGAGGTATGTCCAATTGCAAGACAAGACATAATTTGCTCCACATTCCTACACAAAGGTCTAACGCAACCACATTAGCGGCCAAATGCCGGTTCGCCCTCGATGCTCTCGGCCTTTCGCTCCTCATTGTGTGGCTTTAGCTGTGGCTGTGGTTGTGTCTGTGGCTTTGGCTTTGGCAATCCGCGTGGATTCAGCAGCACACTTGCACAGCCTCGACCATGCCCTGGCCACTGGCTATGGATTATGGTTTATAATTGAGTATAAATATTGAAGAACATAATTTGAGACATTAATGCCAAAACAGGATTCAGATTTGCAGCAAAGCAAACAAAAGACTTAGGCAAGGAACTCGTGCAGGGAGTGGGTCACATACTAATGTAAGAAAGAGCATAAAATACGAGCATTAACGATGCCCAGTATTGCACATGACACACAGTCAGAGGCAGAGATCTATTTATAGAGAGACACACCTCCATTTCCCACTCTATGCGAATAAATGATCCACAAAAGTTGTCTGCTCACCAGGTCCATGCCAAAACTACCATTCCACAATAAACCCCTTACCATTTCGAGCTCTCGGGCTGAAGCTTTTCTCTCTTGGCATTACAGATATTACTGCGGCATAGATAAGTGCACAATCATAGTCAAAGTGGTAGAAAAGTGACTCAACTCTCAGCCAAATGATGTAATGAAAATATCCAAATTCGTTTGGCAACAAAATAATTTCCTTATACGCTAATTTCTAGAATATTTCTAGAGATTTTTATATTAAAATTGTATCAATTTACTTTTTGATCAATTTTATTTCACAATCTTAATTGAAGAGGTCGGACAAGATGATGGGTAGCGAAGATGTCAATCGGCGGGCATCCAGCGCTACTTCGAGTCCTTATTCTTGACCCCTCCGATGTACAGAACCGAAAAAGACTTGTCAAGAATATCGTACTCCATTGGGCGCTGGGGTATGCTATTAATTTGATCGAAATTCAATTAGGACTACCTTTTTTCGCAATCGTTTATATTCTCTTACTTGATCTCCGAGTTGAACATTCGCTGAAGATGCTGATGCTGCTGTGGAATGCAAACGAGCTTCGGTGCCGACTTCAGTTTCAAGGCTAAGTCGCTATCCGAAGAGTGGAGCAGGTGGCTGTCGCTGGCAACCGTTTTGCCGGATTTCGAAGACATCATTATTACGCTAGTGTCTGTTTTTAAACCAAAAAAATTTTAGTATAGTTTGAATATGGAAAACAATTTCTATCCTGTTGAATAATTTTTTGTAAATAACTGTAATGTGTATGGAAACATCCGACTAAAACGGCAAGGCCAAGTGATGCATTTGATTGTTGGGAATTTTGAAATACCATTTGAATTCTCAAGGCTTCCTTTTTACTTCAATCTCCAGAATCTATCTACGAATCAATGACCCTTTTCGATTTCGTTTTTATTTCACTTTACCTCAACTTTAGTTCATGTATTTTACTTTCAAAAACAATGTTTTAACTAACAAATTTCTTACTTCTTATTCAAATTCATTACCCAACAATCGACAACAACAATCAATTCGACGGGCGTTTTTCTGCTGACTGAATTTTTTTGCCTTTGCATTTGCATATGAAAATATGACTAGTTTCGACGAAAAAAGTAACGAAGTGCGTGAAATAACCAAGCCAGAGTCAAAGTGCTACATTTAACTTAACTGAAAATTGCATTGCACGAGGCAGGAAATTTCCACCACTACAACTACAACGACAACAAGGTGAAGGCAAAACCAGGACAAGCAGCGCGCAAAAACGCACAAAAGAATTAACGAAAAATACCAAAAGGCAGACAAGAAATTGAAATTTTTCAACAGTGGAGTCCATACAAACAGCATCCATGAGCAAACCAAACTTCGAGCTTCCGTTGACCATTGATCCGGAGCATGAGTTGCGTTTTGTGGGTCCCTTCAATCGGTCCGTCGTCACAATGATGACCCTAAGCAATAACGCGGCTGTGCCACTGGTCTTCAAGATGAAGACAACAGCACCAAAGCGCTACTGTGTACGTCCAAACATTGGCAAGATCCTGCCTCACGGCTCGACCCAGGTGGAGATCTGCCTGCAGCCCTTCATGTACGATCAGCAGGAGAAAAACAAGCACAAGTTCATGGTGCAAAGCGTCCTCGCCCCGATGGATGCTGACCTGACCGATTTGAATAGATTGTGGAAGGAGTTGGAGCCGCAGCAGCAGATGGATGCCAGGCTGAAATGCGTATTCGAGATGCCCAGTACTGAGGAAAATGCAGAGAACACTAGCGGCAGCGCCGGCGGTGGCAATACGGTTACCAGTTACCAATGCGGTTACCAATGCGGCATTAAGTCAGAGACGAAGTTGTCTAGCAATGAAAAGGCCTCAAATTCGCTCGATGCCTCTGAGCATGTGGACTCCGGTGAGATCAAGGCGCTGATGGATTCCAACAGTGAACTACGAAAAGAGAATCTATACTTGAAGGATAAAATCACGCGCTATCGAAGCTCAGCGGTCCTCAAGCAACCGAACGAGTCCTATGCCCCAGTGCTGGCTGAGAAACAGATTCCGGTCCTTTATATTGCAATTGCCATTGCTGCAACCATCCTGGGTCTCTTACTGGGCAAATTCTTGCTCTGAATGCCATAAATTATCCAACATGCAGCAGAAACACTAACAACTACAGAACTACAGAAAACAAAACACAAAACACAAAACAAAGACAACACACGAAAGAGAACAGCAGCAGAGAGCAGCAGCACCATCAATCCGCAACAAGACGCAATAGCAGCAATAACAACGAGCGTACACGCAGAAGCGACAGCAAACAGCAGAAGCAAACGGAATAGGCGATACAACAACCATCAGCAGGAGAAGCAGCAGAAGAGGAAGCAAAGGAAACTCTTGAGGGGAGAGAAGAGAAAAGAAGAAAATAAGCTTCGCAGATGAAACATTAATTCTTAAAATTATTCAAAAACAACAACTACAAAAACCAGTTTAATCCAAAAAGTGCATTGCTCAGATTTTCCATTGCATTTTTTTTATACCCGGTACTCGAAGAGTAAAATGGCCATATCTATCAGATCCCCAATTTTGGATCCGATTGGATCATTATTATAGCCAAAATGAAGAAATTAATTTCCAGTGGCTGAACCCACCCCGTCATGCAGCTTATATTTGTTTTTTGCACATTCTCTCATTCACACTCTGCTTCTGCATTATGCGGCCTCTGCTTCTGCCGTCCCTCTGCCTCTGCCTCTGCCGATTTTTAACCCACCCCGTCCCGCAGCTTATATTTGATTTTTTTTTGTGTGCGTGCGCCTCTGCCGCGAGTTTGCAGTGTGTGGGTCTAGGGAAGGGGGGCGAGCTAACGGAGCGTGTTGGTGTGAGAAGTGTTGTAGATGTAGATGACAGATGACAGATGAAGAAAATATTTAAAATTTGACAAAACACCGCTAAGGTGCAGAAGTAGTAGGTATAAACGTTGTGACGCGTAAGGAGCGTCTCACACGTCCCTTCTCGTTTTAAATAGTTTTTTTTTAGCTAATATAACTAACTATATTTCTTCGGATTACTATTGTTTAACGTCTAGAGTATTGGAAACTCGTATCTCTTATTTGTTTTCTTTTATTCTTCAATCAGACATTTATTTTTTTAAAAACTAAAACTATATATTAAAAACCGAAATTTCGACAAAAAGCAAAAACAAACCCAACATTGTTAATGGAAGCAAAGCGATTTCAGTGTTATGTTTAATTGAGTTTGTTATTTGCTTTGAGAAATGTAATTGTTACTTAAGGAAAAGCACGAGCAAAATGCATTACAAAAAGTCAAAAAAAGCGCTTTGAAAAATCATATAAATAATAAAAGAAAGTCAAGAAAAAAAATAAAAATAATAATAATAAGAACAATTCGACGAGGTTCCAGATTCGATCTTGTCTGACTTGTGTCTGACCGCAAGTCAAACCAGTTCCTCAGACACTGAGTCTCCCACGTCATCATCGAAACATGAATTGGAATTGAACTTGACGCTAGAAAAGCCGGTACTTGGGGTAATTCTCCAAACGGAAGCTGCTGACCACGTGCTCCGAACCCCTCTACAACAGAATATACAACCAGAAAGCCAGAGCTGTATCCGTGACATACTTGTATGAATGTGCTCCGCAGATCTGAATTTGTTATGATTTATTGATTGCTGATAGGATTGGGCAATTTCCAGAGCCAAAGCGAGTCAAAGTCGTTGCGGGTGTAGCAAAT